GTTCCTCTTCCTATCACTCTTATCCGCTCGCCTACCGCCTCCGAGCTCACGGCTGCTGGCCCTCCGAGGCGCACCGCTCGGCCGCTGGCCTTGCCAGGCACAGCGCGCGGCCGCTTCCGAGTCGCGGCGCTCGGCTGCCCTCTCCAAGTCGCACGACCGCGGCCTCCCTGCCGCTTATGCGGTCGATGCCTCCCTTCTGCGATGTGCAACCACTGCCGCCGGCCCGCCACTTACAAGCGTCGTTGGGGCGCTGCCTCCAGTGAACACCATAAACCGACAAGCCTCCATTCTGCCGAGCAGCAAGGAGATGCTATGTTGAAAGCGCATGTCGCAAGAGTATTTCTCAATTGTTTCAGATGTTTCAGAGGTATGTTGCAAAAATAGATCGTGATGTTGCGCATGTTGCAATGGTTGTATACGTATGTTGCAAGCATCCATTCCAAATGTTTTATCTGCTTTTTTAGACGTATGTTGCAAGTGTGCTTATTTGGATTTTGTATATGTTTCACACATATGTTGCAAGGGTATGTTCGAAATGTTTTAGTTGTTTCAGTCTTACGGAGTACGTTGCAATAAGTGTTTTCATGTTGCAAGTTTTAATTGTTTTATCTGCTTCAGACTTATGTTGCATTGAAGTGTTTCATGTTGCAAGTGTTTCATGTTTTAGAAGTATGTTCAGAGAGTCATGGGAGAACGGTCTGGACGCCAAGGGAAGGGGCGCGACGAGCCGTGGGCCAACGAATGGGGCACGCGACGCGCCTCGGGTCTTGCGAACGAGGCGTGCTCGTCCTCATCCCGGCTCCCGGGTCCCGCCCGCGTGCGAGAGAGGAGGGGGTCAAGGGGGAGGAGCGACGGGCGCGGGGCAGGGCGGGGCGAGACTAATGGAGCGGGGTACGCGTGGCGGGACGAGGCAGACGGAGAAGGACCGCAGCAATACGGTGGGAGTGCACCACGTTTCTGCCCGGCTATTCGGTACCGTCCGATGGAATCCTATCTCATTGGACGTTCGGGTGTCAGCAATTCCTTTGAAGGATGTCTATGAGGCGCTCAAGAGTTCTGCCAAACTGCACTGTGCACCCGATTTTTTTTGCAGACACAAATTCAACTTCTTCCTTTTTTAAAACTTTTTTTTAGAATTACACAGTACCAGCTATCGACGGGACGTTGTCTACCACTGAAAGTATAGCGCCGTTAAATCATGAAATAAACACTCGTGTCAAGTCGATGACTTAAACTCAGATGTGGAACCTAACCAACTAATCCATGATCTAGTTCAACTTCTTTCTCATCTCAAACTATCCTTCCAATGATTTCCGTCTCCTTTCTGAGTTTTGTTATTCTTTTTCCTCCCATGATCCCATCCGCCAAAAAGAAAAGAAAAAACTGACCTGACCAATGCACTGGAAGGACTAGGGTTGTGATTTTCAAATTCAACCCACAACATAACAAATCGTTGGAAACACCCGATTGTGTATGAATCGTGGCACTAAGACTCGAATGCTGTTGAGCGGAGTATACTCCTTATGATGATTCCACCAGCACACTAAGATGTGTGGTTGCCTATGCAGATCGCAGAGTGTGTTTGACTAAAAATGACTAAGTCACATCCTTCAATACTGCCACCAGGTTACTGTGAACACAATAAGATCACCGATCACAAAGGGAAACGTACATACTATTCGAACCCGCTTTCAAAACCACATACGCACACATGCATGTATCGATCGATCTGCATGCGTTTTACAATTACAAACGACAGTCACAGTCATAAACTCGGAATCAGAAGACAGGCAACTTGACCCGGTCGGTGCACTTGGTGGGCATGCCGAGCGGGCAGTCGATGAGCTCCTTGGCGTCCCGGTCCACGCACTGGTACACCTGGAACAGCTGCGCCTCGCCGTCCGCGTCGCGGTTGCACTCCAGGTTCGCCACGAACCCGGTGCCCTGCGCGATGGCGTCCCTGACGCTGCTCACCGGGTACGTCTCCGTGAAAGTGTGGGAATGATTGATTGTATTCCATACGTGTACAAGAGTACATATAGGGCAGCCGGGGTGGCATGCAAGCCTACCGCACAGGCGCGTGATTACATCCACAATTAAGGGACCTACTATATATACAATATGCTAACACTCCCCCGCAGTCTGATCGGGAGCATGGCGGACATTCATGCTGGATCGAAACTCCTGAAACAACGAGGTAGGAAGGCCCTTGGTGAAGACGTCGGCGAACTGTGAAGTCGTCGGAACATGAAGTACCCGAATGTGACCGAGGGTGACCTTCTCCCTGACCAAGTGAAGATCAATCTCAACAAGCTTTGTCCGCTGATGCTACACCGGATTGCTAGAGAGGTAAACAGCACTGATGTTATCACAATAGACCAGGGTGGCACACGAGGCGGGTGGCGAAGCTCGGTAAGCAGCTGGCGGAGCCAAGTAGCTTCAGCAACACCATTTGCCACAGCACGATACTCGGCCTCTGCACTGGACCGGGAGACTGTTTGCTGACGCTTGGAGGACCAGGACACCAGATTGTCCCCAAGGAACACTGCGTAACCGGAGGTGGAACGTCGAGTGTCAGGACAGCCGGCCCAGTCAACATCAATGTAGACGACCAGCTCCGTAGGTGGTGACCGACGCATGGTCAGCCCAAGTGAGAGAGAACCCTGCAGGTAGCGCAAAATCCTCTTGTGCGCAGCAAGGTGGGGCTCACGAGGATCATGCATATATAAGCAAATCTGCTGAACTGCAAAGGCGATATCTGGTCAGGTGAAAGTCAGATACTGTAAAGCACCAGCCAAACTGCGGTACTGTGTGGCGTTGGCAACCGGAGCCCCATCTGCAGATAATTTGGAGTGAAGGTCATGGTGTTGAACAACTACGCCAGGGAGTCTTGAGTCCAAGCGCCTCCATGGACGGGGTTCCAGGGTGCCGGCTGTGACACCTGGTAGGCCGGCGAGGGCCCCTGGAACGTTGGCGCTGCTCCCCCGTAGACGTACGGTGAAGGCGGAGCGGTGTAGCCGGAGCCATAGGCGCCACCGCTCGGGACGCCGCTGAAGGAGCCGCCGTAGCCGTACTACGGGACGGCGGTGAATGCTGGTGGTGCCGGTGGAGGACGCCCGTAGGGCCACATCTGGAGGGTGCCGGCCCAGGGGTGTGCAAATGACGGGTGCACACCCGGGGATGCATGGCTGAAACCGGGAGGGGCGCCAGCCGTAGGTTGCTGCTGCTGCTGCTGCTGGCCGCCACGTCCGCCGCGGCCGCGACGTCGGCCGGAACGCTGGCCACCAGTGGGTGCTCCCTGCTGTCCACCAGAGGGCGCACCGTGGGGGCGCACAGGAGGAGTGGGCGCCCCATAGCGCGGCACGGCAGGGCCACCGGTGTTTGCCGCCGGGCGTGGCGCGGCGACAAGTGCGGCGGGAGGCGAGGGCAGCCTCGCGTCGATCTCCATCTCCTCCAGGAGGAGGTGCGTCCGAGCCTCCACGAAGGTCGGGAACGGGCGATGCATCTTGAGAATGGACACCATGTGGCGGAACTTGCCGCTCAAGCCACGGAGGAGGGTGAGCACCATTTGCCGATCACCGATGGGGTCGCCGAACTCTGCAAGTGACGTAGCCATGGACTCGAGACGACGGCAATAATCTGTGATCGTCAAGGAGTCTTGGCGGAAGTTGCGGAATTGCGTCTCGAGGAGGAGGGCACGGGATTCCCGCTGACCGAGGAACTCATCCTCGAGGTAGCACCAAGCTTCGCGTGCAGGTCGCTGTCGCATCATGAGCGACTGCCGTAGATCGCCGGAGACCGTGCCGTATATCCATGTCAACACGACACAGTCGGCCTGCACCCACGCCGGGCGCGTGGGGAACGCCTCATCCTCAAGGACGTGGCGAGTCAGCGCGTACTTGCCGAGGACGGTGAGGAACATGCCGCGCCACTTGGTGTAGGTGTTGGTGGCCTGGTCGAGAATGACGGGGATGAGGGCCTTGACGTTGACGACGGCGGTGGCCTGCGCCCAGATAGCTTCGTGGGCGGCCTCGTACTCGTCCAGCGCGACGGAACAGAGGCGCTCTTCCTCGGCGCGGCGTGCTTTCTCAGCATGGGCCTCTTCGGCGGCCTTGGCCGCAGCAGCCGCGGCCGCAGCATCATCGTCGTCTGCCATGAGGGGCAGGACCGGCGGCCACACCTGGTGGCGCGATCAACAGCACACCCGGCGATGTGTGCAGCAGGCAAGCGTACAACACGTGCACAGCCCGTACAGCACGCAGCACACCCGGCGATGTGTGCAGCTCCAAGCACGTACAGGATGTACAGCCGCGTACAGCACATACAGCACGTTGACGACGACGGCGGCGGGCGGGAGACGTACAACACGTACAGCACGTACAGTAGAAGATCAGGAGCGGAGGCAGGATCGGATCGGCGGCCACACCCGGTGACGAGGGAAGCTACGGGGCGGGCGATCAGATCGGCAGCGCGGGCGATGAGACCGGCGACACACCCGGCGACAGGTAGTCAGCGACGGGGGTGGCGATCGGATCGGCGGCGGCGCTGGTTTGGGTTGCGGAAGGGTAGCGGATCGAAACCGCGATTGATACCATGAAAGTGTGGGAATGATTGATTGTATTCCATACGTGTACAAGAATACATATAGGGCAGCCGGGGTGGCATGCAAGCCTAACGCACAGGCGCGTGATTACATTCACGATTAAGGGACCTAATATATATATATATACAGTAGGCTAACACTCCGTGTCTGACGGCACGATCCCGGCGTCCGCAAGGATCGCCGCCAGGTCGTGCTGGGCCTTGAGCTGCAGCGCGCGCGCGAAGTAGTCGTGCGGCTCTAGGTTGGAGCGGGTGCCGTGCTTCTTCCACTCGTAGCTCCAGAACTCGAAGCTGCGCCGGTTCTTGCACGACAGCGTCGGCCAGCTCCGGTCCAGCGACGCCACCAGGTCCCGGATATCCCACGGGGTCAGCTCGTTGCCGTCGTCGCAGTACTCCGGCTAGCACTTGCCGCGCCGCCCCACGGTGGAGAGGAAGGCGTCGCCGAGCATCGCGCGGGCGAGGCCCTGGCGGCCACGGCCACGGCACTTGGCGTAGTTGGGCCACAGCCCGTGGATGCCGAACGCCGCCGCCGGCTTCGTGTCATCCGGGAAGCAGCAGCCCTGCCGCGTGTCGCAGAACGACCCCGGCCACTGCATGAATGCCATCAACGAGGGACGAAGTCAGGAACACATGTTAGATTAGATTATATTCGTCGTCGTCGCTGGATTAAAATCACGAGAGGCCGATCGATCGATCAATCTCCGGTCACGCGACACGCATGATGCATCACCTGTTGAACAAGGTAGAAGAAATCGAACTTCTCCGCGGCGGAGGAGACGGCGAGGAGAGAGAACAACACCAAGAAGGCGATCACAAGCTTCATCCTTGCCAATTGGCGAAGATTAGTGGCGAAGCTAAAAGAAAATTGAGAGGGGTGCGACTAAAAAAACGAGTGATTAAGAATTCTACGTCCTTGCATTTTCGAAACGACGAACCATGGTGTTATTTTTGACTTTCGTCATCTCTTCTTCCTCCACGTGGCAAATAAGGCAATTATTCATAAATTTATCACCAATGCGATTGCGTAAAGTTGTTTTCACAATCATTATGACTTAAAAAATCCTCTCAACTATCTATCACGTTTTAAGTCTCCACCATTCTCTGAGAATGCTTGCTTGTAATTCTCGGCATTATTGGCACTAACAGGCTCTGGTGTTTTTGTTTTGGATGGAAAACCGTTCCATCAGCCTAATAAAAGAACATATAAATTTGTACTCAAACACAAATAGCTAGCCTAACACTGTAGACCATTGTAAAAGTAAAACAATAACCACTTATAGCTTTATGCCCGCATTGAAACGCAGGAATTTCGTAGAAAGTGTATAATAATTTCAGAAACAAATTATTTTTCACAAGAAAAATGTAGGAACGGAAAAAATATCGTATTCCAAAGGGATCTAATTTGTACATAAAATCAGATTAATTAAGAAAGACAAAAAAGGCATGGCTGCATGGGAGCATCTAATTTAGTTTCATACCAGCTTAAATCCTTGATGCTTGTTGGGTGTTGGCCTGTTGTGTAGCCAAAGCACACCAGCGACGGAGCCGGTCCTAGGCTCGTAGCTGGATAGCTGCGGCCTGCAGAGTAGCCGGCCTCCGGGTGACGCCGTGACGGCAATCTTCGCTGGATGTGCAAGAGCGAGGCAAGGGCGCCGTGGGCCTACAGAAGCTAGAAGCCGAGAGGACGGAACAACGCGGACTCGCTGAAACGGAACAATGGAAGATGGAACGACGTATGACAATAACAGCCGGAGGTTACAAGAAACAATCGATCTTGCAGTTCCGGACCTTCTTAATCGAAGTTACAGGTTGGGCCGCTGAGTTGTGGGGGCTGCAGTCTATTGGACTTTGGGGGTGCATAAAAAATTAAAATCTGAGTACTATAACTTGAAAAGAAAAATCGGGGTGGTGCATCTGCACCCACGGTCAATAACTGAGCCTCGCCCTGGGTCTAAATAAACAAGTGCCAGTTAAATATGTTTACTTCTGTACTTGCCAGGAATATGACACAGGTTTAAGCTTCAAACAATGACAACCTGGGTACCAATGCCGGCCACTACTTGTCTTCGTATACGTTGGCATCTGTCCTGTAAAACGGTGTATTCTTGAAATTTTATGATAAATTAAGAGAGAACATAAAAGACGTATGTACCTTTATTTTATTTTCTAATTGGACGTTATCATCAACGTGATTGATGGTGATTGGTTAATAAATGAAAAATATTTAATGCAAAACTGATTTTTGTTCTATAGAATGCATTATATTTGAAGATAATTTTTAAATGCTAGAATGCACTATAATACAGGACGGAGGGAGTACGTCATATTATTTGACGTAGGAGTAGAGTAGACGAGTTAGCTAGTCCATGATTGAACATACTTTTATTACTGTGGATGTTGAGATCACCACGAAGGCAACAGTGCGTGTTCTCACATGGTAGTGTTTTTACCTGGATGTTACCACAACAGCCCAAGTAGCTTTGACATGGCCTAGAGGTTAGGGAGCTTTGTTTCCTTTGCGATCAAGCGCAGGAAACAATTGATCACATCATCGCTACATGCTCATTCACTAGGGAGCTTTGGCATTGTATCCTGCAAGTCCTCGGCCGGCAACTCCCCCAGGTAGCAATGACGACATTGTGTTAGTGGAGACTACGTTCTCTCTGTGACGGTCACCAACACCCCGCCATGGACTCCTTGTTCACATTGGTTTCTTGGCAAGTTTGAAAGGAACGTAACACCAGATGCTTCCGATGATCGACGACCACGGTGAATGAACTACATCAGATCACCAAGGCCGAGGCTGATCGTTGGATAGAAGCCGATGCGAGCGGGCTAGGAGAATTGACCGGGAGGTAGCCACGACAGGGTTCATGCCGATCCTAAGTTGTTCTTAGCAAAATGTAGCATGTAATGTATCCCAAGATCGGCTGGCATTCCATGTAACATAAACACTCTCTATTCTTAATACAAAGATACACAACGCTTGTGCGAGAGAAAAAAACAGTACAAGTAGTTGAATTGTTTCAGAAAAAGTATATTTTTCACAGTTTAAATCTATTCATTCTAAACCAGATATCACTAGTCAAGATGGCCGAGTTGGTCTAAGGCGCCAGTTTCAGGTACTGGTCCGAAAGGGCATGGGTTCGAATCCCATTCTTGACAATTGACTTTTTCCTTTCTCTCTAATTTTCTCTTTCCAGTTCACAAACCACAGAAGTTGTCTTTTTTATTTCTCTCTATTTTTTATTTCTTTTTTACTTCTCTCTAATTTTCTTTTTCCAGTTTACTTCTCTCTAATTTTATTTTTCCAGTTCACAAACCATAGAAGTTGAGGTTGTACTACTCTTTTTATTTCTATCTATTTTTTCTTTTTTTTAGTCCATGCAACTTTTCCCAGTTCAGACAACTTTTTTTATTCCTCTCTATTTCTATTTTTTTTTAGTTCAGCCAACATCGGTGCATAGAAGTTTCAAGAAAAAACATCGATCCATAGAAGTTGAGGTTGTAGCCATTTCCTTCCTTTTTCAACAAAATAGACGACTTTCCTGATTGGCAAACCTCTGCTCCAGAAATGAAATACCCATACTGCTTCGCACTTGTTTTCTCTTCAAGTGTGGCCGAGTAGCACTCCAGTAGCTTCACTAGAACATGCTTCCAAGCGAGCTCCAGCATCTTCAGTTAGCCAAAACATAGTATGGAAGCCTTGAGAATAATTGTTTTGATGCTCACCAAGAAAGTGTGCAACTTTGTACTCTTTTGTGACAGGGTGAAACCCAAAACGGTAGAAAGAGAAGTGGCCGCCCTTCAATTTCTTTTGCAGGTTTGTCAAGATGCAGGCATTCAGCAGTTTCAAGGTTAGCCCATTGCCTTTGTGCATAAGCATGGAAGCCCATTGCATGAGCCGCAACGAAAACCATCCGGCCCAATTAATGGCACGGCCAACGTTGACTGTGACTAGGATTGACTCTTGAGGCCTCATCGAAGATGATAGCATCACTAGGGTGTGTGCGCGCTAAGCTCTCCATTGGCAGTGATGTGAGAAGTTTAGAGAGAAGGCAACGGCGAGAGAGATGTCCACGTCTTAGTACCATACAATCAACCCTCTCAAAAGAGTAATTAGGGCCGTTCTAGATGATGAAGCATCAGCTAGCTGGGCTTTCATTCCGTGCATTGTCTTCCTGATCGAACTTATTGTCGAGCTCATCATGGCAGTTGGCAGCAGCAGTCACGTTTTCTTCGCTGCTAATGCTATGCTAGTACAACTACAAGTAGTTCCACCAATCACTAAATCTGTTTGACTGTTCGTAGAGCCACCGTGTGCTGCTATCCGAATTAATTAAAAACCCCTCTCACCTATGCCTGCAGCTCTCAAACTAGTTTCAGACCTGTCGGGTAGACACAATTAGTAAGTTTTTTTGACTGACAGTGATTGCAGCAGTGCTCAACTTCCACTTCTTCTGGCCCATAGAACTTCTATAATAGAATTGGTTGATTGATACTCATCAATCAGTGCTGCAATCCGTTGGTTATAAGGAGATGTACAGTATGTACAAGTAGTTTTACTATCAAGTATCAACCACAGATTCAGAGTTGAAGTTTGACACCTGAAGATAAGTATGCGCTTTCGCTAATATGATGTTATCAAATGACGAATAGCACAATCTCAAACTAAATAATACATACAGACTAAGAGGCTAAGGGCCTCTTTGGCACGGCTAATGCCGGCTTCGGCTTCATCTATTTTGCGCAAATCGAAGCACTGTAGCGTGAAGTCGTTTTGTAAGCCGGGGTTAAAATGAACTAGAAGCCGAAAAAAGCCAGTTTTTCTGGCTTCATCGGCTTTGGTTTCACCGGTGAAGCCGTTTTGGATGAGCCGTGCCAAATGGGGCTTAAGTGATCGACAGTAAACAGTACTAGAGAATCCATGTGTTTTAAAAAAAAAACTTTCTTTCACATAATGAAAAGAAACATTTATCGTCTGTACTGTTTCGCCTTCTTAAAGATATCTTTGTGTATGAACCCAAGTTACCCAACTGGATAAGGGAGTCAAACGTTGGTTCAGACCAGACGCTCATGCCAATTCTAATCTCAGTTGCATGATCCAACCAAAGATTCATCAGCTCCTTGCCTCCTTTCCATATCTGAGTCTGAGGGATCTTATCACTTCTCACGATTTCAAAGAAAGGAGGGGTTTTAATCAGGATTTCAATGCCTGTCTGATCAGCAACCTGTGCTGCGGATGCAAGTGGCCAAGTGGGTACCCAATGGATAGTTTTGGGCCTGTCTTAGCCACTTTTCTATCTTTGGAATCCGAATTTGTTCATTTGGATCGACCCGATGACTCGGAGAATAAAAAGAGTAACATCCCTAGCCTCTGCTCAAAATTGTCAGACTACTCCATTTGCTTTTGGTTTCTATATGCACTGTTCGCTTGGCTGATAAGCCATGGCTGAAAGTTCTGTTGGCTGATTTATTGTGAGAGAAAAATACTATTTATTGGCTGAAAAAGTACGGACAAGCGAACATGGCGATATATCTTCATTCGACAAGAAAAGGTACAGCAGTTGCAGGCAAGTTTGATGACCGGGTGGGGTGAGCGCCATTTATGATCTGTTTACTTACGCGGCAATATCCTTTGCTGTCAGTATCTTCTCCGGGAGGATGATGGCAAGCCGGCAAAGGACACAGGTCCATGAAGACCATAGTACTCATCGCTTTCGGAATAATTGGGCCTGTTCTCCTCGATGACGAAGCAACGGTACTGCTTTCTGTTGTACTCATCGTGAGCTCACTATTATCGTCTTGCTAGTTATGGCCACT